ATTTCAAAAACTTTCAAAGATAAAAACAGAAATTTAGAGAAGGCTGTAAAGGTTTGGATGCTGCGAATGTTGTAGAGTGTTTTGTAGGATTTTATTTTATTTATGTTCTTAAAAACATGCTCTATAGTTCTATAAATAATATGCTGATTAAATATTCTAAGGTTTATCCGGGTATTTTCAACCCGAACATCACTTTATGCGACACATGGGCTACAAGAGCTTTGTCTGTCTTTAAATCGATCAAAAGAGATTAACTGTCACTCCTATAAAACACACACACATTTGTTTGGGTTTGTGCTTAATAACAAACAAACGTTTAAATTTAGCCCCCCCCCCAAGTGGCACAGCGGTATGTCTGCGAACTTACAACGCTAGAAACCAGGATTCGATAGCCCTTGTGGACAGAGCACAGATAGCCCATTGTGTAGCTTTGTGCTTATCAACATATAAACAAATAAAGTAATTTCATTTACAGTTTTTAGAACATTTAAAATTAACTGGTTTCCCCTAGAGCAGTTTGAGCATAATAATAAATTATCAACATGTTTGAGAAAGGTTAGTTTTTTTGTTCATTTGATGTTGGAAATAAAAGAAGACTTTGGTGAAATAGAACGAAGTTATATTTTCTTATTAATTACAATTTTCAATATATGTAGCCTAATGTGATGTTTATCACACAGATATATTTATCTTGTGCTCCTCCTGATAGCTCACGGTAGGCTTGAGGACTTATAACGATAAAATATGGACTTCAATCCCTGCGGTGGGCGCAGAGCTGGTAGCCTCTTTTGCAGCTTTGCGCTTTTTAAAAAAAACAAACAATTGATCTTGTTTTTGGTAGATGGCGCCACATGAGAAAATCTCGATCAAATATGTGTATATGTAAATAGAATTTGATCTCGCACTATTATGCTAAAATAAAATCCTTGTAAAAACCCAATGTTGAAACATAAACAATCTTTTTTCTATGAATTTTAACAAGAACATTATTTGTATGCTTGAAAAAGGTTTAAGAAACAACTACACATTGGAGTTAACTGATCAAGCAAAGCCACATTGGGGTTATTTGCTGTGTCCACCGCGGGGAAATCGAACGTCGGATTTTTGCGTTGTAAGACCGTAAACTTATCGCTGTCCCATTGGAGTACATATATTTAATGAGAATTTCGCACAAAGCTACACGAGGGCTATCTGCGCTAGCTGTCCCTAATTTAGCAGTGAAAGACTAGAGGGAAGGCAGCTAGTCATCACCACCCACCGCCAACTCTTGGGCTACTCTTCTAGCAACAAATAGTGAGATTGACCGTCACATTATAACGCCCCCACGGCTGAAAGGGCGAGCATGTTTGGCGGGACGGAAATTCGAACCCGCGACCCTCAGATTGTGAGCCAAGTGCCATAACCACCTGGTCATGCCGGGCCTTAGTGATAATCACAGGGAAACTATTACATTATAAACATATTTCTGCCATTATAAATACTCAATAATAAGTCATTAGATTCTGTAGGACTCCTGATCATCGATGGAAACAAAGAATGCAAAAAGCCTGACTAATAGAAATATCAAAACGTACTCAATATTTACCAGTTCGCTATAATACCAAAGTAAAAAATATATATAAGGCCAGTAAATTACTATTACTTTTTTTACTTTTATGGTAAGGTTCTTCTATCACCAGTTGACCTAGCACATATAACAGTTTGGATAAATAGTTTCCTCTTATAGAAATAACAAGACAAATAATTCTACCAAACCTTTGAAGCGCTCACGAAGCTATAATGTTATCTTCAGAAGGCTATCGACCGCTAGATGGACACAGCGTAAGAGGAATGAAGATGATAGAACGATAGCTAGGGGTAATTTCAAAGCTGTAATGAAAAGATAACAACACCAGGGTCTTTGGGTGGAACTCGTTGTCCCAGTTTTCTTCATTTTAGTGCGTGAAAACGTTTAAAACCTCAAACCTAAGATTGGTTGCTTTATTGTGTGAAAAACTTTTAAAACGTCAAACTTAAGATTGGTCACTTTAATGTCTGAAAACTTTTAAAATGTCAAATCTAAGATTAGCCCGTTTAGTGTGTGAAAACTCATAACATGTCAAACCTAAGATTGGTTGCTTTATTTTGTGAAATCTCTTAAAACGTCAAACTTAAGATAGGTCACTTTAATGTCTGAAAACTTTTAAAACGTCAAACTTAAGAGTGTGCACTTTAATGTCTGAAAACTTTTAAAACGTCAAACTTAAGATTGGTCATTTTAATGTGTGAAAACTCTTAAAACGTCAAACTTAAGATTGGTCAGTTTAGATGTGTGAAAACTCTTAAAACGTCAAATTAAATTTGTGCACTTTAATGTGTGAAAACTTTTAAAACATCATATCTACGATTGGTCCGTTTAGTGTGTGAAAACTCTTAACGTGTCTATCTTTTGATCAAACTTTAAAATCATCCGAAGAAGGACGTCCTGGTCCGAAACGTTTATTCAGCATTTACCATTTTTATGGTATAAATTATCCCCCTTTTTGCTTTCTTCTTTATAAATTTTGTTAATTATAGTAAACGCAATATGCTATAGTGCTCAGAAAATGTTATGTTCCGTGATGATGATTCAATACACTCTAGTTGAAGAAAGGTTTTGGTAAATCTCTAGCCACTTGGAAGAAAAAATACCTTTGAGATGTATGTAAAGTATCAGGCCTACATGAAAATTAAATAGAGGTATTAGAAGTTTTTAATTTCGTTTTTATAGGGGTGGGTAAACAATGTTTTTTCAATACCTTGTTTGTTTTCGAATATTCGTATATAGCTATTCAAGAGCTATCATTGTTAACCGTCCCCAATTTTTAGCTGATAAACTAGAGGGAAGGCAGCTAGTCAACAGTACTCACCGTCAACTCTTGGGCTACTCTTGTCTAATCCATCAGTTGAATTAAACCATAACTCTTATAACTCAAGCGCGGTCCCAAATTGAGGAACTAGATTTTTTTTTTAGTGGTAATGCGAACGACGGTTCATTAGAGCCATAGTCCGGCACGCTAGTCATTGGGCCACACTTGGTTTTCTGCAGTACAACTAAATATAACAAATTTTGCTATCAACAATTGTTTGGTTTGGTTGTTTTAGAGCAAAGCCACATTTGGCTATCTGCTGTGTTTACCGTGGGGAATCGAACCCCTGAGAG